ATTAACTACACAATCAGCCGTGATTCGTATTAAGCCACGTACACCTCTGCCATCAGATTCGACTGATGTTGTTGATGGTACTTTACAAGGCACAAATATGCCCCTCAATAATTATGAATATTCCTTTCCATCTACAGAAACAAATACACTTCCTATTGATCAACAATCACATCATCCAAGTCATCCAAATCAATTGTATCGTGGAAATTTAAACGGTCTTTATACACAATATAATGTACAACATCCCGCGTTACATTATAATACATTGCCATCTGTATTTCCGAATTATTACCCAAAGAAACCTCCAGGAATTTGTGTCAAATTTTTACCATCTGTATCTAATTGTTCTATATCAAATTCAAATAATGTGTTATTAGTCGCAAATTTACATGCAAAGAGACAAATTAAAAGACGACCACCACTAAATTTGGTGCCTGAAGGCGTTTCTAATAATGGTAAAACTGGTCGCAGGAGATCTCATTCATGGTCTCAGAATTATACTTCAAGTAACACATCTAATTGTCTTGAATTTGAAACTAATAATAGCAAGAATGATATTGGTTATCAAGATCTGTGGAGTTTTCATCCTGCGGGTATATTGACACTACACCGTGTGTGGATAGAAGGGGTAGCGTCTGATCAAACTTCTAATCAAGGAACAAAAGACGAACCAAATAATAGTAATGTAATTACAATTGGTGGTACACCATTAGTAGGGAATGTAGCTGCAGTTGCTAATGTTGGTAGAGCGTTGGTTGGTAGTGCAGCAGGCGTTGTAGGTATGGGAATGGAAATTGCAGCTGGTGCTGTTTTAAAAAAAACGAGCACTCTAGATATGATTACCAGTTATGAAGATGTTGCTGAATGGCAATTAATTCGCGACGCTACTTGGGCTGAAGTAAAAAATGTCATCGAAGCTCCAAAACAATGCAATACCGAAAATGAAATAGCTAAAAGAGAAAGTGATAAAAAAAAATGGCTTGCTAATGCAGAAATTGTAACATATACCAGTTCAAAAGTATCATTACCTCCACCTTTGTGGGCGACACCACAATTTACATTTCAAACGTTTTTGCCTGGTTATAAAGATGCTATAAATAAAGGAGAAGTACCTCGTTCAAAAAAGATAGAAATACGGAGGGATATTGTAGAAAGGATAGAAACCAGTGATGAATCAGATGGAGTTAATGGGTTGATGAATAATGAAGAAGGCATTCATCGAAATGATAGTAGAACAGGTAAAGCGGTTCTCATTCCAGCCGGTAAAGCTATCGGTAAAGGTACTGGTGACATTTCAGCAAATCTATCAACAGCAATGTGTACATCACTTGATTTTACATCGTCTAGTCCGACATTTTTAGCTGTTAACAATAAGTCCAGAGATCGCATGTCAAATGGCAACTCTAATGGAAACACATGTTTAAAGATTGCAGATGATACATGTAAGTTACATATTATAATTTATATTATATATATTATATGTTTATTACATTGATTAGATTTATTTAAAATATTTATAATATTTATTTAATCAACACTTAGCCACAACACCTTTATCCTTTGAGGATGCATATCATATCCATATTGCAAATAATATACCTACTATGACATCAGCAAAATTCACAGCGTTGAATAATAAAAGTAATATTTTATCAGAGTTTTCAAATAATACGACATTTGTTCGGCAGTCACATTCATCTGATACACAATCGACATCATCATCATCCATGGCATCTGAAACCACATACAGTGATAATTCAGAAAAATTAGATTATGGAGAGAATAATATAGGCGAAAAAGAAGGAAACTTTTTCTTTTCGCCTGATGGAGATAATGAAGTGGAATTACCTACTGATAGCATTATATTACCTCGTAATAGGTAAACATTATTGTAACAGTAACAAGATGAAGATTTAAGACAATAAGACAATTGATTTTGATAAGTTTTGAATTTAGTATCTAGTATATATATCTACTATATATATATATATATACTTTTTCTGTATAGTTTTATTTAATTTTTTTTAACATATGAAATTTAAATGATACACCGGCTGACTTTTTATTCATAAAAAGGTCTTACAGGTTTTTTTTCTTTTTTTGTCTAGAAGAATATAAAAATCCATTTAGAAGCTTTATAATAAAATTTTTCGAAACAGACCTGGCCGGATTAAAGAAAAATAATTACATAGGCCTAATTAGATACTGTTCTGTAAAATAATTTATTTCCTTAATATTAAATTATAAGCTTTGTTCTTCTTTTGTAAATATACTATCTCCTAGTTAGCATGCTTAATAATTAGCATCTATTTTTTAGATTTTTTTTTTTTTTTTTGTTTTTGTTGTATAACTTTATTATTTTTGATTATATAAAATTTTT